AATAATAGGTAATGCCCATCTTTAAAAAGCTAATAATTGGTTCTGGATTTGGTCTGCTAAAAAGAAAACTTTTAGAATGGAGCCATGTAAAAAGTAAGACTGTATTTACCTTAAAGCTAGGATAAGGTTAGAATAGGATGAGATTAATGTGTATATGTTTATGCTAATAACTTTAATTTAAAGCGCAATGGTTACCTGACATCATCGATTATATTCGTATATATAGTTAGAAATATTCTTAAAAAAAATTCTTTTCACAAATCGAATTTGCATGGATATACCTGTAATTATTATATATAACGATAAATTCAAATATATCGGATGACTAGTTAAGAATAGTTAGACCGTTTTTTATTTATGGAACAGCTTACGTAATGTTTTTGATGATTGACCAATCAAATTGCAAAATTTTGATCATCCCGGATCAGCACGATGACAAAACAAAGCGAAAGAAAAAAAAATACACTTTTGAGTATTAATAAAAAGTGTTGGGAGGGAGATTTTGTATATATGAGTGATGCCAAGGCAAAACCTGTAAGCAAATATCGAGGTATCAATAAGGCGAGCTTACCCCTGGGAAAATTGTGATATGTCGTATTAAATCATTGTATACAATCAGTGTTCTGGTTGTCCTTATAGATGCCTAAATATTTGCTTACAGGTTTTTCCTTGGCATCACTCATATGATCTCTTCTATCCCAACCTAGACGGCCCCAACCCTAAATTTAATTAAAAAAATTATTAAGTCACATGTGATGCGCAAATAGATGCATCCGTTAGGATAGACGTGTGGAAATCATTATCTCACGTATGGTTTGTAAAAGAAATTTCATCGAAATTATTTCTTTTATGATTCATTCTTTCCCTAACACGGAAAAGGACAATACTAGCACCTTCCCAACACTCATCATTAAAAGATGACTGTACGTATGTACGACTAAATTTAGACCGAATCTGTACTACTATATAGTAACGAATACTTTTAATAAATAGGCATAAATCATTCCATTAAATCTTTCTTTTTTTGACAAAGAAAAATCAAAATGTCTTTCTTTTCGTCTATTCCGACCATATTTTCTACTGTATTAAAACATTATACTGAAGGCCCTCCTAAAAAATCATGGGATTTAAAGTTTCATTTGATAATGGCAATGATTAAAAACAATATTCGTTTACAAAAAAGGTCTATTGAACAAACTCAAAAGGAATTTGCCGATCAGTTTAAGATTACACTTCCTCCTAATATAACTATAAAAGATGTTATATTAGATGAGGAATATAGACAAAAGAGTAAAACGTATTTAGAAAAGATTTTGAAACAATATGATGACGTGTTAGACGAGAAATGGAAAGAACCAAATGATAAAGGATTGCATGGGGAATGGATGTATATTAATGAAAAAATTAGTGAAACTGATCATGTGGTTTTATATTTGCATGGTGGAGCATTTTGTGTTGGCTCAGCTGAACAGGTTAGAACAATCACACATAAATTTGTTGAATATGCTGATTCTCGAATTTTTGGTAAGCTTTTCAGATTAACTGCTTTGGAATATTCTTATGCCAATTTTTTATGATAATGTCTTATGCAATTTCGTATGATAATTTCTTATGATAATTTCTTATTATAATTTTTATGATAATTTCTTATGATAATTTCTTAATGATAATTTCTTATGATAATTTCTTGTGATAATTTCTTGTGATAAAAAGCAATTGATTATCGTCTTTCGCCACAAAGTCAATTTCCTGCCGCCCTTTGTGATTCCATCGCTGCGTATCTATATCTTATAAATCCCGGACCAAATGCTGGATTTGAACCGATCAATCCTAAAAGAATTATATTTGCTGGCGAGAGTGCAGGTGGTAATTTGGTATTTACTACGCTCTTAGCTTTAAGAGATGCAGAATTACCTTTACCAGCGGGCGCAATTGCATTGGTAAGATTTAAGTAAATAAATATTTTTATTTTGTCTCATCATTCATATTTACAT